AATGTCTAAACGAAATCGATAAGTCCCGTCTGTCTTTTTCAGTACTACTCCACTAACTATCTAACGGCCTAACTATACTCGTGTGCTACCAGTGCAAATTTAAGAATCAGTGGTGACATCCTTCGTAACGGCGTTTTAATTGGCCTCGCATCATCGACGTCTATTACGTGCCTAATTAGACTCATCATAGTTGGGGTAACTCCATGCTCGGGTACTATGCTATACACCGACACCAACACCTGCTCACGTTGATTAATTATCCTTATAACTTGCAAGCCCTACGCACTCGGTGATCTGATGTGCCAACCTATCCGCGTTACTTGCAAAAGAAATCCATTTGTTCGAGCTCTTAGGCCGCTATTCACGCCTCTCGACGCTAAGATCCTGCAACCACGCATTCCAAAAATCCGCGTCAAAGACCAAATCATGGGCGCACTACGCCACCGCGTACGCAATCAACGTCCCGGTTTTTCCTTCGATCTCAAGGCATAGCTTCAAATCACCCAAAGGGTCCGGCTCGTCACCTGAGACTTCTCTCACGAAAATTGTCGACGGCCCTAGTCGCAATCCAAACCAATGCGCCAATCCCGGGCCTATTACCGTAACCTGTGCACGCGAATTCAACAACGCCAAGTAATTCTTCTTATTTATATCAACGGTGAGAAAAAATATAATTTCTACTACCGCCACTTGGGCCATGTTATCATCTTTGTCCTGGTTCATGGGTCGATTACCCAAGCTTGCCTCGACCCTCCCCTCCAACAAAACGGAAAGCGTTTCCGTCACCATCGTGTGACTAGCCGGATCGCTCATCACCTTTCGCCCTTGCGCATCTATTTTCTTTCGCTTTCGGCTGTTCAAAAGCTGCAGATAACGCCGTAACGACGTCTCAGCCACACGTTCAATCGATGCTCGATCGGGCAACCTCTTCTCTACTCGTTTGTCTGAGAGTAGCTGGGAGCCTCGTGGCAACACCTCGGCTACGTCCTTAACCTAGGCTCAATCGAACAATCCACCATGTCGGACCTTTCACCCACAACCGTGCGATCCTCCTCTTCCCCGACGAATTCTAACAATTTACTTCATTCTACCTCTTCTACTACCTTTAAGACTTCACCATCGTTGATATCGGCTATTCCTAACTGTTCATAGCGACGCAACAATCTATCCTAAAATTCCTCCGCTTTAGCATCTGCTACTTCCGACTGCGTACCACCGACTATACACATTCGTTCCCTTGCGATTCTCTTCCCCCTGGAGCCCCGTGGCTCGGCTGCGAGTACTAACACAACCTCACCGGGCTCGATTTCTTTGTGACCGTTAGTTTCTCCAGGTCCAGTCAGCATCGCGCGAACCACCTTGATCGATATATTTTGCGCGCTAGCATTGCTCGCCCAAGCAAACTCAAGCAGGGGTCGCCGAGCGAGTTTCGGCCCCCACCTGCGAGTTTCCCTACTGTATGATGTTTCTCGCACATATTTGACAGTCTGAAACACGAACCCAAACGTTCCGCAAACCTTACAGCTAATCGCTGTACTTGGATATGCATTTGCGAAGTGGCCAGATTACTTACACCGGTAACATGTGGGAGGTGGCCTGCTCCCCTCGCGACTACCGCGGCTTGGACACTGTAAATTCCTACGCCATTTTCCTTCGCATGAGTAACAGCTTCCACTGAACGCTTCCGAGCTCGCTACCACTCCTTCGCCGCCCCGCTGCGCGCCCCACTACTGAGGAACTAAGCTAGCTCGGGTCTGCTGAGGCCACCGAGAGTCCAGTATTACTGTACTCGTTATTCCTGTACCAAAGCATAGCTTTTCCCGTGAGCACTATTCCCACCACCTCAAGTATCTCATCGTCCTCCAAATTATAAACATTTTGGCACTTTACTACATCATTTATGAAACCGTTCACGTCCGCTCTCCCTGCACCTGAAAACTTCAACGACTAGATGTGAAAAGCGCTCACCGAGTCTGCCGGTTTACCGCTGCTATAACGTCAGTTCGGATGTCAGCTTGAGCACGCACGGCTCTTCAGGCAACTCTGCCTGTGCCCCTTGATCTCGCGGCGCCCGACTCAGCCGTCTGAGTCTAATAACTCACCCTAGCTGTCATCCTCCGCACTCGCCGACTGATCTCTTAGCCTAATTCTCGTCCTTGCCGCACGACGGTATGGAGATCTGTTACGCGGCCCTGCGTCCTCAATCTGCACGGTGCAGCCTCCTTGACCTCCCGACACGTCCCAAAATAATTATTCCTAACTCCTCATCAGCTACCCTGATTCGCGAGAGACGGTTGGTATACTCATCTTTCTACTCGACTGTTCGTGGGCCATCATTGCGGTAGTACCGGTCTCCTCATCCGAGAAAAATTTATCTTCCAATGCTGACGCGTGAGGATCGTTTTCTCGCCACCGATGCAACGCCGAAAGGGGCGATTGCTCATCTGGTACTCGCCTACACGGTGCCTGAACTACTGTCAAGTTTTCATTTCGCGATCCGTCTCATTTACCCGACTGCATTTTCAGCGCGGCCTTTTCGACATGATATATATTATTCACACTTTTGGGTAAAGCCGCTCGTATGTTCCTGCGCATGAAAGCCTTCCAAACCCGACTATAGTAAACGTTGGATTCTACCTCGAGACCATGAAGCACTACCTCCTGGTGAGGAGCTCGCTTTTTTTCCGTCTCGGCGGCAGCCATCATCTCGTTACCCGGCGGCAGTCATCGTCTCGCCACCCGCCGCATCATACGAGTTCCCCCGTCTGTCCAGCGCATTCAGTTCCGACTTGCTTCCTCGCGCTGCAACCGGTTGCGGTTGTTCATTCACCGCTACAGCGCGCCATTACCTGCAAATCGATATAGGCTCGGTCTAACTGTCTGCTCGTCTGTCATTCATCTCTCTCCTATTGATGTGCGGGTCCATCTTCTATAGTCCGTATCAACTTCACGTTACTCCTCGCCTAATATGTATTCAGGTGGGCCTGGTACAATACCCGTTTCGAAGTCGCTAGTGCCCAGGGGAAAGTTCAGCTCCGGACGCTCGCGCGAAATTATAATGCATAACATGCGCTCCTAAAGTTCGCTAAAGCTACCCGCGACGCTTAACTGGTACTTTTTTAAAAAGCCCATCAACTCCGCTGCCAGCGTCTTATTTATCCAACGTTTGAGAGCTTGTATGCCTCAATCCTTCATAATTTCGCGCATGAACGCATTCATTGTCCTACCCGACGACATCTCCACGGCCTGCTCTACCCCCAGTATATCTTGGACACCTTAGCAGACCGCGACACTTTGGTGTAGACAAAACCGACAACCGTACCGCAGGCTCTCGTATTTCTTACTTATATACAAAAAAAAACGGAATAGATCTCAAAGTCTCTTCAAATCGCTGATGAATTGTTTGAGAGAAGGGACTCGAACCCACTGAAGTCAAGATTCGTCTGTGAATGCGATTTCTACGTTGCTTTTCTTAATACCAGGAGTAAATCATTCCAGTCTGTTATATTTATAAAAAAATATATTAAGTAGTGCGCATTTCACGCACTGCCTTTAGTCGGAAATTTTTAAATTCACAAAATAATTCCTGCCTATTACAACAACAACAGTTCTCGGGTAAAGGTGCACGTTAGATCCAAAACAAAGGATTATTACTTGAGATGACCAGACTTACTGTAAATACGGTGACTAGGGGCCTTCGACACATTAGGTCGATGACTCACTCACCCATGACCCAGTGTACCAACGACAACAACTACCACGCTTATCACGATAGTTTTCTCTCTCTTTCCCTCGCGAAAATGCACCGGTAAGCCTCTTTTCGACCGGCATATGGCTCTTTCGCTTACTGTGTCCAACCGGCGAAATGTAAACAAACAACTCTCGAACTACAACTTAACGCAGCTCAAATGACCGCTCAGTCATCTTATTTACTCAGCTGGACCTCAGGTACCTCGTTCGTAACTTTATTTTCAAATTCCTTTTCCATTATACTCTAAACCTTCCTAAGTCCGCAAAACTTTCAACAATGAAATCACGTCCTATCTCTCTCCTTGCGGCTTCTCACAATTCGATTTCCGCAGCTTCCCCATAAAAGATACCATGTAACACATTCGTTGGTTTTATTTGTCGATTGATTTCGCGATCCGCATATCAAGACTATTCTGGATAACTCCGCGTTACTATTTTTTTAAAGGGAAAGGTAAGGAAGGCGCATTCACTTCACCGCGTATGGCGTCGAGAAGGTTTCGTCGCCTATCAAATTCGATAGCTGCGACTAAACATCAAAAGAAGAGAGAAGACATGAGTCGACAATTGTGGCAATTATTTTCGCGAACTTTTTCCTTTATTATAACGACTAATTTTACAAGATGCCTGATGCAATTATATGCATCGAGCAAAGGTCGGGAGCGCTTGTTTTCGTGCGAATGTACACACAGATGACTATGTACCTTACAGGGAATCGTGTGAGTATGGTGCGAATCAAACGCACCAAACCTGGTCGTCCATGTCCCGTCATTGTTAGTATAAATTTTATAAATAATTTCAAAGACCCATAACTTTGTCAATTTTTTATACTTTTCAATAGGATTGACAGTACTTTACTTAATTTACTAGCGAATTAATTTAAGTACCAGGCGAGCGACGAAAAGTGAAATTCTTGAAAAATTTAATAAAATATTGTACTCTATTTTATAAATATTATAAATTCCAAGAATTATAAAGCTGTAAGGTATTTTATTTAAAGTATACTCTAATAATCCTAGTATTTTATAACATGTATTAATTATCGAATCAAAGAAAGGAAATATTATATATTTTATATACAAAATAATGGACAAAGACTCTCTGTTGTTAAATAATAAAAATGTTATGAATGCAAATTTCTTAGACCATTTGTGATTCAACCAAATATGTAAGAGAGAAAAAAAGAGAAAGAAGACACATACACATACAATTTTTTAAAATTTAAATTATTGCATGATAAAATAATATCTTACCTGTCGATGTAGAGCTTCCATCGCTAGAGCACCAGCTTCTTGTTCTTTAGCTCCAGCTTTTGATTCACGACAAGCCAATATTGGTTTTGAATATTTAGCAGCAAATTGTTTTTCGCTGCCTAAAAAACCAGGCATGAGAAAATCAAAAAGAGACCAGAGTTCTAATACATCATTTTGAACTGGAGTTCCTGAAAGGATTAATCGATGATGAGCATGCAATTTTTTAACTGCCTTGGCACTTTTTGTTTTGCCGTTTTTAATAATGTGTCCTTCATCGAGTACGCAATAATTCCATTGGATCGACTCAAAGAAGTTAATGTCTTTTCTCACAATATCATAACTTGCAACAACTAATCTGTAACATAATACATTTTTTTTAATCATCTAAAATTGATTTCAAAATAATAGTATAAAACAATTGAATTTTCACATCTATACAAGAAAACTAACTCATTAACGACTAAAACCGTCAATTTTACATCATGATTTCGATACGAAATTTCATGCATGTAATCGAGTCATAAATGGGTCTTATACATGATTTCTTATGTATTTTTGTCTGTAGAATCCGAATATGTGGTCAAAATTGAAAAATTTTGCCTTTAAAAAAAAAAGATGCCCGTTTTTTTGCAAAAAAAAGCAAAAAATCCGTCATTCTAAAGGTTTACGATTTTTTTTCAGACATAAAACGCGACGATATATGAAGTTGCGTTCAACCATCGGTGCACAAAATTACTGAAGTTTAATGGGTAATTTTTATAAGTACAATTTTTTTTACAAAATGGCAGCTACAGGGCCAAAACCACATGAACGTCACCATAAATCTTTACCATTTTTTTTCTCAAAAATTATTGACTTTAGTAAAAATTGTCAGAAAATTAAAATATCTTAGAATTGATGAAAGAATACTAGAAAATTTTTCCAAAGTGATTTAAAAAAATTTTTTAAATTTCGATTTTTCCGATTTTTGAAAAAAAACAATTTTTTTCCAAAAATTCTGAAAAAATGTTCTAGTATTCTTTGATCGATTCTAAAACATTTTCATTGTTTACGAATTTTTATAAAAATTCATGGTTTTCGAAAAAAAAAAAACAGATTTTAAGCATTCACTTTTAGCACTACCTAAAGATATCGACGTGGACGTAGTAAAAATATATCTCCTTTGGGGTGCTTTTTTATAGTGAGTTCCTTTGACTCTCACTAATCGGTCTGCTTTTTTATAGTGAGTCCTCTTGCCTCTCACTAATCGGGGTGCGTTTTTATAGTGAGTCCCCTTGCCTCTCACTAATCGGGGTGCTTTTTTATAGTGAGTCCCCTTGCCTCTCACTAATCGGGGTGCTTTTTTTAGTGAGTCCTCTTGCCTCTCACTAACGCTGATATTTTCGTGATATGTTTTCATACATAGACTGCAAAAAAACAATTCGCTATCATCACAGAAAATATATGTTCTTATTGGACAATTAGAACATTTTTGTTGTTGTTTTTCTTGTCTCGTTGAATGTTTTTTTTTGTTTTCGACTAGTGTCGCAAATGTAGCTTTGTGCTATTGATAATACAAATTCTTTGATTCCAACTTTTTGATGATTATTTTCAGCAGCATTGAATATTACAACAGAATTTGTAATAGCAGCCTGGATTAGTCCTATTAAAAGTACCCAGGTCCATTTTTTTGATCGCATGCTTGGCAGTAAATTGTTACAGTGCGCATCATGTACATCGACACCACCCATGAACTGGTTATAAAGGTAAAATGGTTGCGGAATTGGTGTCTCAATTCTTGCTTTTTGAATTGAACTATATCTTTTCAGTGGCTGTGATGGCGTTACTCCTGCAGTTGTAGAAAATATAGACACTAATTTTGAATCCATTACGGCAATGTAACTAATACCACTATTTTGTTCATGCTTCACTGCATATATTCCACGCAGAGCCTTTTTGTCAATAGCATTTTTCACCTTTACACGATTCTCTCGAACAGTGCCAGTAGACCTCAATGTTAGTCTCTTCAAGTGTACAAGAAGATCTAAATTTGTAAAATAATTGTCAAAATAAATGTGATACTGAAAATTTTTCTCAGGAGCTGTCATTTCAAAAAAAGGTTTTAATAAATGTAATACGACACGAGGATCTAATGCTCATGAAGCTAATTTATCTCCTACAGAGAAATTTTTTCCACAATATAAGTCAAAATTTAATAAATATCCATCTGAAGTGCAAAGACCCCAAAACTTAAGTACAAATCGCGTAGGTTTTCCACGTATGAACTGTTTCAACGACGTTTTAGCATAGGATTTAGCTATCATTTTATCTACTGTCAGAGCAGTTCGCCAAAAGCCAAACTTCAGGATATTTTTTAAAAAAAAATTCATCAATTCACGAACACGCCACCCTTTGTCACTCAGAACATTATCTTTGGTTTTTGAGTACTTCAATTTAGACTTAATAAGTTCAAACTTATTTCGTGACATTGCCGAAGAAATTATACCGCAAGATAAAAAAGGATCAGTCGACCAATAATTCCTTTCAGACTTTCTTTTATTGATCAAAGTTATTACAATGATCCCAATAAACGTATTCAAACCAGCCATTAATAACTCTAAGCCATTTTCCTTATATGCATCTATAATATATTGTTTCATTTCAATTGAAACAATAGTATTAAAAAATTTAACTGGCATACTTTTTCGTATTTCATCTATCACAGATTTAGAAATAAAATTTCGTCTAAAATTTCATTAGAATATTTCCTTTCACCATTTTTCCAAACATATTCGTGATCATTTTTAAGCATAGCTTGATTTGCTTGATAATTTTTTGAAACTTTTTTATAAGTGATCGACGGTAAATTTACGTCACAGTAAGTATCAGAATAAGAATCATCTGAAGATCCAGAATTATCTGCATTTGGTATCAAATCGTTTTCGTCCTCTAAAGAGTCTTTTTAAAAATCAGAAGGAACAGCCCGTTTAGTTCGTTTTCGTGACATTTAAAGGTGTAAATATAATAAGTAAGAGATAATAATGATTGAACTTAATTTCTGCACATAAAAACTTAATATGAGAATTTATTTCTAAAACAGCAGAGCTGAAACTAAGTCAAATTTTACGAAAGCTAACAACTTTACAACGATATACTTTTAAAAGTATTTAATTGTTTAACCCTTAACTGCTATGTGGGGTAGATTTACCCCAAACAATTTTTAACAATAAATAAAATTTTTTTTTTTTCTTTCAACAATTTTTTTCAATGTGTGTAACATTAAAAATTGTTAACCTGAATATTTTTTTTGTAGTAAAAGGTTTGAAATGTAATAGAAAAAATTTTCATAGCAAAATATTGTGACGGTAAACGTCTTGTTAGCGTTATCACCTCAACCATGCGGCTGCCTGCGAGGGCAGCACCTACTGGTTGGGGAAAACCTAAAAAAGGGGATTCGGTACGAGACGGGACGGAACGCGCGCGAATATAAACGAACCAGTCGAGGATTGGTAATCCAAGCATCTAGCCGCAGTAATAACCAGAGTTTTTCCAACGTTTCCGAGTGCTGAAGCGAGCCAGCTGAATAAGAGGGACATCAACGAAAGCCGTGTTTTTGTCGTTACTATTACGAGTGTGTGCGAATGTGTGTGGGTGCAGCGTTTCGTCATCGAGGGCGAAACCGTGTGCGAATTGCTTCCTCCGAAGGACTGATACACGAACTTACTCCCTCTCTTGCCAATTGTACGACCGCTAATAAGGTAAGCTGGCCAGCTTAGTATCGCGACTTTTTATATGACGGCGCGGATCGAATTATTAATCCCCCGTACTCGGTAAAGATCGACAGCATGCATGTATTAACTCTGCGAACAAAGAGCTGCGACAGCTCCGGCACTACATGTTATTGACGCGCGCGCGCTTCGTAAACATAAACACGCGGGCCAAGTATATTGTAGAAAATAGGTAAATAAACTAACTCGCATGTGGAACAGATCATAATTTCGCAGTTGTTATTTCTAACGAGTAGCAAGTTGGTTGACTGACTCCTGTCCCCTCCTGCTCTCCAATTAGCGAATTTGAATATTTCGATAACACCGCGCGCATCTCGATACGATTGCGCGTCACGTGAATAATCGGAATAAAGACGGAGCATTCACCCCGTTACAAATCGCAAATTCTTTGATTTATTCGATGTTTTTCGAGCTGGGGTAGATTTACCCCACCGAGCAGTTACGTCGCCAAAATGAGGTATGCAAGTTAAGGGTTGGGTTAAAAATAGTTTATTCGAAAAGATTATGTAAAAATTATGTGGAAAGATTATTTATACACGTTATATATAGATCTCATGTAAGCAATTTGTAAAATTTCAGTTCTTACTAATGCTAAAAGTGAATGCTTAAAATCTGTTTCTTTTTTTCGAAAACCATGAATTTTTATAAAAATTCGTAAAGAATAATAATGTCTTAGAATCGATCAAAGAATACTAGAAAATTTTTTCAGAATTTTTGAAAAAAAATTTTTTTCTAATTTTATAATCGAAATTTAAAAAATGTTTCTCAAATCACTTTGGAATAATTTTCTAGTATTCTTTCTTATTAAAAAAAATGGTAAAGATTTACGGTGACGTCTATGTGGTTTTGGCTCTGTAGCTGTCATTTTGTGAAAAAAATCGTACTTATAAAAATTGCCCATTAAACTTCAGTAATTTTGTGCACCGATGGTTGAACGCAACTTCATATATCGTCTCATTTTATGTCTGAAAAAAAATTGTAAACTTTTAGAATGACGGATTTTTTGCTTTTTTATGCAAAAAAAACGGGCATCTTTTTTTTTTAAGACAGAATTTTTCAATTTTGACCACATATTCGGATTCTACAGACAAAAATACATAAGAAATCATGTATAAGACCCATTTATGACTCGATTACATGCATGAAATTTCGCATCGAAATCATGATGTAAAATTGACGGTTTTAGTTGTTAATGGGCTAAGTTAACAGGTCTTATGTAATATCTTTTATTGTTTGAACGTTCTAGTTATTATTTTGCAACGTTTTTAAAGCTTGATATTTATGTATGATAGTTAATATAAGCATAACATAATCAGTGAATGATTACAGGTTAATCAGTTACAGTATAGAATCTGAAGATTTTTGAACGTTTTTATACTTGTTTTCTATATTCAAGGTGTGACAGACCAGCTCATTGGCGGAGTTAGATGATAGAGGGAGAGAGGGAGAGAGGGAGAGGGAGAGAGAAAGAGAGAGAGAGAGAGAATAAGAGGAATATGAAAGTAAGAGAACTCACAAGAGAGAAATTGAAAGGACGAGCAGTGTTAGCTGGATTGTCGGGTCGTGTGCGTCATCCATTTTTGTTGAC